ACGCTTTACAGAATAAACAATTATAGAATACTACATGGTGCATACGATTTCTCGGCCTTTTTCGCTTAGGTGATTTGTTTTCATCAGTTTAACCATAAAATCCTGTACTCTCTCATTCCTTTCCTTGGCTCACAATCCCAGTTTCTCCATTAATGGCAGAAGCAACAAACAGGTTCTTCCTTTTTTTTTTTCTTTTTTTCTTTTTTTCTTTTTTTCCTTCAATCAAGTTTTTCTCTCCATTTTTGGTGTTCCAATTTCCTAATTCTTCTTTTATTTCCCTTCATTTTCAGGTACGCAGTTGTTACTGGGGCAAACAAAGGTCTTGGTTTGGAAATATGCAAGCAGTTGGCTTCACATGGGGTGACTGTAGTTTTGACAGCTAGAGATGAGAAGAGGGGTATGGAAGCTGTTGAAAAGCTCAAAGAATCTGGTCTCTCTCAATACATAGTTTTTCATCAGCTTGATGTTGCAGACCCTGCAACTATTGCTGCTCTAGCAGATTTTGTCAAGAGGCAATTTGAAAAGCTTGATATCTTGGTATCACTTAAATTCTCTAATATTTTTCATTCATAAGAAATACGAAATGACTGCTGAATGATTTTCATATCCCCTAATTATCGTGTGCAGGTAAACAATGCAGGAATTGGTGGTGCGGCAACAGATCGTGATGCTGTTGTCAGTAAGGTAAATCTTCTTCATATAATCCTTTGATTTCCTTGCCACAAAGAAAACAAAAAAAAACTATTCAAACGCAATTTTCTTTTGAGAGTAACTGCATGGATTGGAAGGTTTAATTTTCTTCTTATCAATTCAGATGCAGGCGGGGGAACAAATCAACTGGAGGGGACTTATAACTGAAACATATGAGTTGGCTGAAGAATGCCTTAAAACAAACTACTTTGGTTCCAAAATGATGTGTGAAGCATTTATTCCCCTCCTCCAGTCATCTGATTCACCAAGAATTGTTAATGTTTCTTCCTCCATGGGGAGGTTAAAGGTAAAAGTTTTTTGTAATCATTTTTTTCCCAAGCATGACTTAAGTCACTTGATGGATATTAAGTTCATTTCATGATTCTATTTCAGAATGTATCAAATGAATGGGCGAAAACGATCTTAAGTGATGCTGAAAACCTTACAGAAGAGAGAGTGGATGAAGTATTGAACAAATATCTGAAAGATTTTAAAGAGGGATCACTAGGAGCTCAAGGGTGGCCTGCTTTTATGTCTGCCTATACACTCTCCAAAGCTGCCATGAATGCCTATACAAGGATTTTGGCTAAGAAACACCCCAGTTTCTGCATTAATTGTGTTTGCCCTGGCTTTGTCAAAACTGATATAAACTATAATACTGGAGTCTTGACTGTTGAGGAAGGTGCTCAAGGTCCTGTGAGATTGGCATTGCTGCCAAATGGTGCCCCTTCTGGTCTCTTCTTCAATCGATTGGAAGAATCAGAGTTTTGATCAGATTGTGGGAAAGTATACGCTATTTCCTCTGTACTGCTTTATGATTGTCTTCGAATCTCAAACAAGTAAAAGCATGTTTGAAAAAATGTTTAAATATAAACGTTGTTTGCAAGTAAGGAATAACAAAGTCTGTGATTTATGGTATTTTGCTTCCTCACGAATTTTTTTATAACTCATTCATCTGAACATGCTTTGATTACTCACATTATGAGACGCAGCATGTATCTTGTAGCATGCATAGAAGCAATGAAGTCAAGGAGCTCTACTTTATGCTAATTTGATTCATCTACGCAATATTTGGCAGAAGCTAAGCTGAAGCTCAAAGCTTCTCCTCCTGTTTCTCATTGATTTCATGCCTTAAACCATCTGAAACACCTGCTTGTATTTGTTGTTTGACATCCTCTCTAAAATTTGATTTTTCTTGAGGATATTTCTATCTGAACTATGCTGATTTTTGCATTTTTACACTTTAAAACTAAAACAAATTCTTGATATACAATTTTTTTTCTCACAACTTAAAAGAAAAAAAAAAATTCCCCAACTTTCCCAACTGGGGGACTTACTTGACATCTTTTCACTAGCTTTTAAAATATTAACTTTTTACAAAATATATAAAAGGGTGATAACTCAAGTAGGAAAAAGTGTCGTGCAATCCGGATTATATTAGACTACACAATTCTAACCATTGGATGAGGATTTGACTCTCTGATACTAGTGGCTTCCTCCCATCTAATAATTTTTGTTTTATTATCAAGTATAGTCTAAATCGTAAAATAAGATTCTCATTCAAATAATACTTAAACAAAATTTCAATATGAAATTCACTATCTTTTTTTAAAGTACTTTTGCAACTATTTTTTCAATAAAATTTTTTTGCCCTTCTAACCAAAAAAGCCTCTACATGTATAACATCTTGATACCGTTAGAGTTTTGGAGGAGAATTGGAGCAGAAGAACTTAGAACATGAGTTTGGCATAGTCATGGAAGGGGTGTGGTCATTGCTACCATGAAAAATGTTAAGATTACCAATTTTTTAATTTTTTTTCTTAAAAAGTGTACGAAAATATCAGTTTGTTTACTGATTTAATTTATTAACTAATAAATATCAACTGTTTCATTAGTTATTAATTAACAGTTACTATCATTAGTTATTGTTATTAATTAAATAAAACAAAATTAATATTTTTAAAGATAATATTTTACCATTTTTGGTGCCTTAACATTCTAGGTGGTGGCCATAACCCTACCCTTCAAGGTGTAGACATTCACCCAATCGAGGAGAGGAGGGGAGAGAAGAAGTTGTTCTCCAACTCTCACATTTCCATTAACACCTCTGCCCATTTATAGCAAAAACTTTCAACATAAAAATAGTTTTCTTTACCTACTCTACATGCTTTATGGCATGTTTTCTACAAAATGTAATCTAAAATTTAAATAAAAAATTGTAAGGACAGGTCCGAGGTGCCCAACCTCGGACGAACGACAATAATTTCTTTACGACCGAAGTGAAGGATAAATCCAAAGTTTCCCGCTCAAGTAGCTGCATGACAGCAACAGTAGGCATGCCCGTACCTAATCCTTTATGACGAGCTACACAGCAGTTACGATGGACATCCTTGCATCTGAATATCTCTCAAATTCCCGGTCCCGAAATAACCGTCTGGAGATACACATCAGATCCCGAATATCTTGCTTGGCATGCTACGTGGGTTCCTCATTTAAACCTATAAATACCCCCCAAGGGCCACGTCAAAAAGGTAATTGAAACCAACCCTAAGCTCCTTTTTTCTCCGCTCTAAAGGTAGCCCCGATTATTGCTGACTTAAGCATCGGAGTGTCTACCCCAAGGACCCACCTCGGGGCTTTGTAGGTTCATCCGAAGTGAAGACGTGGACTGAAGAAGGACTTCTGGTTTGGTGTAGTTACATTTGGCGTCGTCTGTGGGAATCCGAACTGAAGGCTCCCTTGTTGCTTTTATCATGGTTAATACTAGGTCAGTCCAAGCTGGAAACTCATCTCAGCCTCTTGGACGAGGTCAGGTCCCCAGCAACCTTCCACCTCACCTCCCACCTCCAATCCCGAATACATTCCCTCATGTTGACCATGCAAAAGGAGGAGATGAAAACCAACCACACAATTCAGCTCACAACTCAGTTTCTACTGCCAACCAAGACGTAGTTGCAGCTTAGCTCGCTACTATGCAACAACAGTTTGGTATCTTTCAGCTAGTGCTGGCTCATCTCTTAGCCCGGAACAACTCTGGTGATCCCCTCATCAATCTACTTAACCTTGCTCCGCAACCCCTAGCTCCACAACAAAATCCTGAACCAGTTCAGCATGCTCCTGCTCTTAGTGAATCTCAGGGCCAATCTCACATCGCCCCAGTTCAGCAACCCCTTCATGATGATGTCACTCGACGTCTAGACAGCCTAGAAAAGCTAGTGGCTGAACAGCGAGATGCCCCACCTCCACACCATGCTGCTGACTCCATACCCCACCCTCTGAACACCAACATCACACTGGAACCCTACCCCGCTGGCTTCAGGATACCACAACTTGAAACTTATGATGGGACGAAAGATCCCAATGATCATCTACATGCTTTCTACTCTTGCATGCAAGCCCAGAACACCTCTAACGCGTTGATGTGCAAAATCTTTCCCTCGACTCTCCGAGGTAATGCTCGAACTTGGTATTATAGTCTACCTCCGAGGTCAGTCAGCTCTTATACCGAAATAGCATCTGCTTTTGCCATAAAATTTTCCAACCGAAGGTTGATCAGGAAAACTACTTCTGAGTTTATGCGAGTTAAACAGAGGGAAGGAGAATCTTTGAAGAATTATATGAGCCGATTCAATGACGCAGTACTGGAGGTTAACTCCTTCGACCAAGCTATGGGAATTACAGCTGTGATCTCAGGTCTAACCCATGAGAGATTCAGAGATAGTTTGCTCAAGCACCCTGCCACCACCTTCAGTGAGGTGAATAATAGGTCCCTGAAATTCATCACTGCTGAGGAATATGCCCTGTCACAGAACCCAACTCCTTTTAAGAATCAATACCCGGACTGGAGAGATGAGAATCTGAACAGGAAACGGATGAAGACAACACATAACCGAGGTCCGATGCTGACTTCCACTCCGAGATTCGGAAAGCCGAACTCAACACCTCCACAACAACCTGCAGGTAAACCTCCAGTTACTTGGACTCCTTTTAACTTGCCGAGGTCACAAATTTTCATGCAGATTAAGAATAAGATGGACTTAAGGCGTCCGGGTCCAATGAGAACTACTGCCGCTACCAGAGATCATACTAGATGTTGTGATTTTCATCAAGATCACAGTCATACAACAGAATAATGCAACAGTCTAAGGTCCGAGTTTGAAAGTTTAGCTCAGAAAGGAATGTTGAATGAGTACATCCAGAGAGCTGAACAGCCAAGATTTGTCAGAGAACAGGGGTCACAGCATCAAGGAGTTCGTAATCCCCCAAACAGGCAAGGTGTGGGATATCAGCAAGCCCCACCCCCGCTCCCACCACCAGCTAGAATCATACACATGATTACGGGAGGCTTGGAAGCAGGTGGCCTGAGCTCTAAACAGAGAAAGTTGTACGTCAAAGAGGTTAAGCATCAACGCCGAGCTCAGAAACAGAAGTTTGACGATGCTGCCTTGAAGAATCAACCTATTACTTTCACATCTGTTGATTTTGACACAGTTGTTACACCCCACAATGATCCTCTGATCACTTCTGTCCTGGTTAACAACTGTGAAGTACAACGTGTCCTTGTTGACACCGGGAGTGCACCAGACATCATGTACTTCCACTGTTTTGAGAGTCTTGGACTAGATCCGGCATTATTGCAGAGATATGATGGTCCCATCTATGGTTTCAATAACCAGCCGGTTCCAGTTGAAGGTGTCCTCACCATGAATGTTGCATTTGGGAGTGGCCGAACCTATGTGACTCATTCCGTCCGGTTTCTAGTAGTCAAGATGGCGTCTTCCTTCAACGTTGTTATTGGCCGACCCACGCTGACTGAAACCGAGCCGTGGTTTCCCAGTCTCACCTCTACATGAAGATCCAACTCCCATGGGAATAGCAACACTACGAGGCAACCAGGAGGTGGCTAGACATTGCTATATCACCTCAGTAACACAACCTAAGAAGGGTAAAGATCAAATACCTGAGGCCGGTCCCCAACAGATTTTTGACAATCAGCAAGTCATGGGTGTTGAAATAGTAGATAATCGACCGGAAGATGAAATCAGAGCTGCTCCAGTTGAGGATGTTGAAGAGGTGCACATTGATGACAACGATCCGAGCCGAAAGTTGCAAATTGGAACTAAGTTGAACCCGGAGGAAAGAGCAGAGCTAATAGCTTTCCTTCGGGCCAACAAAGATGTTTTTGCATGGACTTCAGCAGATATGCCGGGAATTCCCACTTCAGTTTCTCAACATAAACTCAGCACCGATAACCAGTAGCCCAAAAGCAGCGCCTCTTTGGGGGGGAGAGGTTACAGGTCATTAAAGAAGAAGTTGAGAAACTCCTACAAGCTGGCTTTGTCAGAAGGGTTGATTACTGTGAATGGGTCGCCAATCCTGTGCTGGTGAAAAAAGCAAACGGTAAATGGCGGATGTGCATCAATTACACTAACCTCAACGATGCATGTCCAAAAGACTGTTACCCAATGCCAAACATTGACAAGCTGGTTGAGGCAGCTTCTGGAAATGAGAGATTAAGTCTCTTGGATGCATACTCTGGCTACCACCAGGTTCCAATGGCTCTTGAGGATGAAGATAAAACCTCGTTTTATGCCGGTGATGAAATTTATTGCTATGTAATGATGCCCTTCGGGTTGAAGAATGCAGGTGCCACCTACCAGAAGATGGTTACCATCGTATTCCGAGCTCAAATAGGCCGGAATCTGGAGGTATATGTTGATGATATAGTGGTGAAAAGTTTGAAAGCTGGAGATCACTTAACCGACCTCGAGGAGACATTCAACAACCTCAAAAAGAATAGAATGAAGTTAAATCCAACAAAGTGTATTTTCGGTGTGGAGTCGGGAAAGTTTATACGCTTCATGGTGTCCAAAAGGGGGATTGAGGTCAACCCTGAGAAGATTAAAGCAGTAGCCAAGATGAAACCACCGAAATCAGTGAAAGATGTACAGAGGTTGACAGGGAGAGTAGCAGCTCTTCATAGATTCATTTCGAAATCAGCAGATAAATGCTTGCCGTTCTTCAAGATCATGAGATTGGCAGCTCAGAAGGATGAATCTGGCAAACAAAAGAAGTTTGCATGGAATTCAGAATGCCAAGCTGCGTTTGACGAGCTGAAGTCTTATCTTAACTCACCTCCCTTGCTGACAAAGGCTGATGATGGAGAAATCCTTTACTTGTACCTCGACATATCAGATGAGGCTATCAGTTCTGTGTTAGTAAGAGAAGAGGGAAAGCAATAGAAACCAGTTTACTACATCAGTAGCGTGTTACATGGAGCTGAAGTCAGATATTCCATTGTTGAGAAAGCAGCCTTTGTAGTTGTCACTTCGGCCAGGAAACTGAGACCGTATTTCCAATCACACCCAATCATAATCCTCATGGACCAGCCCCTTAGACAAATTTTGCAAAAGCCAGAATGTTCGGGTAGATTGATCAAATGGGCAGTTGAAATGGGAGAATTCGAGATCACATTTCAGCAGAGGTCAGCAATTCGAGCTCAGGCTCTTGCCGATTTCATAGTAGAATGCACCTCGGCTCACTCTGATTCCCAATCCGAGGTAGACAGCTGGATTCTGTATGTTGATGGCGCATCAAGTAACAAAGGTTCTGGCGTTGGTGCAATCCTACTTGGCCGAGATGGGTACCGAAGCGAACACGCTCTAAAATTTAATTTTGATGCCACCAACAATATGGTCGAATACGAAGCCCTGCTACTCGGCTTACAACTGACGACAGAACTGAAGGTTGAAGCGATACAAATATACAGTGATTCACAGTTAGTAGTTAATCAAGTCAACTCAATCTGTGAAGTAGTTGATCCTGTTATGATAAAGTATGCAACTCTGGTAGCCGAACTAAAATCCAAATTCCAGAAATTCAATTTAAGCAAAATACCTCGGGCTGAAAATGAGCAAGCAGACTCCTTCTCCAAGTTTGCTTCTGATGGCAACCAAAGCTTCAGATCGGCCTTTGTTGAAATTCTGGACGAGCCTAGCTTCTTGAAGCCACGAATGATGGAGGTCAGCACAGATCCTAGCACATCGAGCTGGACAGATCCAATTATCTCGTTTCTACGAGATGGCACAGTGCCTGCGGATAAACAGGAAGAGATGAGGTTGAGGAAGAAGGCATCTCAGTACATCCTTGTTAATGATGTCCTCTACAAGAGATCTTTCTCACTCCCTCTGCTCCGCTGCCTAACCCCTTATGAGGCTGAATACGCACTTCGGGAGGTGCATGAAGGTGTCTGCGGAAGTCACATAGGTGCTCGAACTTTGGCCCACAAAGTCCTTAGACAAGGTTATTATTGGCCCAACATGTATAAGGATACCACCCAGTTCGTACAGAGGTGTCAGAAATGTCAATTCTTCGCACATCTAATCCACCAACCTGCAGAAGAGCTCACTATTCTGATAGCACCTTGGCCATTTGCTCAGTGGGGTCTTGACCTTTTAGGTCCATTTATGAAGGGAGTAGGAGGTGTAACCCATCTCATCATTGGTGTGGATTATTTCACAAAATGGGTTGAAACTCAGGCACTATCCAGTCTTACCTCCAAGAAGGTCGAGGACTTTGTTTTCAGCTCGATTATTTGCAGATATAGGATCTCGAGTCAGATTGTAGCTGATAACGGAACTCAATTCAATTGCTCCTCATTCCAAGATATCTATTCCAACTACGGGATCAAACTGCAGTTCACCTCGGTTTACCATCCGGAGTCCAACGGCATGGTCGAATCTGTTAACAAATGCATCTTAGAAGGTATAAAGCTGAGATTAGAACATCACAAGGCTAAATGGGCAGACGAGCTCAACAACGTCCTCTGGGCATACAGAACCACGGGCCGAACTGCCACAGGTATTACCTTAAACCTGGTCTATTTGATTAACTTTATATTGTCTTTCTCCTTCTGTTACGGCTTTACCTTAGACCAAATATACATAACGCGTAAAGCGCATTCTAAAGTTATAATTAATTGAAATAGGTGAAACACCCTATCATCTGGCTTTTGGTACCGAAGCAGTTATTCCTATCGAGATAGGAGTCCCAAGCTTCAAGGTTACCCATTTCGATGAAGGACGAAATGGACAACTGCTTCGGGAGAATCTTGATCTGCTTGATGAAGTCAGAGAAGAAGCACGACTTCGAACTCTAGTCTACAAGCAAAAAATAGCAAACTTCTACAACAAACGAGTTCGACCCCAAACTTTCAAAGTAGGAGACCTTGTTCTCAGGAAAGCTGATCTAACGGGGTTCGAAACTCGGTTTGGAAAGTTAGCACCAAACTGGGAAGGCCCCTACACTATAGCCGAAGTGCCCCACCCAGGTGCTTATGTCCTACAGGACACTAAGGGCAAAAGGGTTCCTAGAGTCTGGAATGCCAATAACTTGAAGAAATTTTACCCTTAATACACTTCTTTCCAGTAAACTTTGTCTTATTTCTATAATCGCTATTATTCTGATTACTGTATATCGAAACTCAATTCATTTACGTCATTAATGAACTTCACTTCACATTTGAAGTGATTCAGTCCTTTCATTGTGACTTATTCAATCACTTCATATGTTGGGTTATGATTTCTTTACACTCACTTCTGAAGTGTTTTGCTTCATCTTTCGTCATTTCTGCATTTGAAGTCCGCCTCACATATATATATCCGAGGTCAATTCCTCTGCTGTTCATTTTATTGTGTTCGAGGTCAGAACCTTGTGTTTAGTAAAGTTACTTTATTCGAAGTCATTCACTTAAAATAAACCAGCAATTCGAAACTAAAATTGAATGCCAAGAATGAAATTCAAAAATTTTATAAAATAATCAAACATCATTTACAAAAATGTTTTTTCAAAAATAACTACAAGATATGACGACCTAAGCTACTCTACTGGAGGAGGAGGCTGCTCCTCAGCAGGAAGGAGTGGTTGAGGCGGCTCATCTCCAGCAGGCAAGGGCGGCACTTCTGCTTTAGGAGGACCCAGCTGCTGCACTTCATCAGAAGAGACTGGATGCACCTCGGGAGGCTGCACTTCGGGTAAGTCTGCCTGATCCTCAGCTTCAGCACCTCACGCTTCTTCTTCTTCTTCTCCTTCTTCCTCCACTGTCACCAGCTCAACATCAAAGGCTGGAGGGAAGATAGTGTGTCCCTCTGCATCATGCTCCCACCTCAACTTGATCAGAGGTCGGAAGTCAGCAGAAAGACTTTCACCATCCTCCTCCACTCCTTCTTCTTGTTCCCCAAAGGTGACCGTTGTCACGTCCACCTCTGGGTATTGGGCTTTCACCTTCTTTCTACAGTCGGTAAAGGCCAGGATTGCGGTTGGTAGCCGGTATAGCTTGAGGATGTTCTCAAAGGTGCTGGAGTTGAGGAAGTTGCCAATGTGCTCCTCCATCCCGTTGTGCACCAACAGATTCACGTTCTTCTTCAGCTCCGCCGCTCCTTTCCTCATATTGTCAATATATTTGTCTTGAGCTTCAAGCTTCTCCTCACAGATCTTCCTCTTGCGTTCTTCAAGGACAAGTTTCGTGCTGAAGACATCATTGTCGTTCTGGAGCTCGGTCACTGAAGGAAGAACTTCGTCTAGCCTCCTCTGCATCTCCCTCTTCTCCTTCTCCCAATCCTCCTTCTCCTTCTGCAACTCTTCCCTTTCCTTCTGCAGTTACTCACACTGCCTCTGCAAGTTGGCACGATCTCTCACGCTCTCTGCGTACTCCTACGTTAAGGCGTTTGTCTAGCTTGCACTCTACAAGGCAAGCAGAAGTCAGACCTCAAACGTAGAAGTCCAAAAAAAAAAAAAAAAAAACGTAAATAGGCTACAACTCCTTTACATACCTCCAGGGCATGCCTCACAACGGTAGCCCCCAGTTGGCTCACCGCCTCATCCCTTGCCTGCCTCCTATCAACCTTAGGAAGGGTAGTGTTGAGGAAGCGGTTCGCCCCAATAGTGTTTGTTGCTTCGAACAAACTCTTCTGGAACGAAGGTTGAGGGAAGGGCCCCTTGCCTTTGCCAAGGCCTCGTACCACGGCCTCCTCCCTCTCCCGGACTTCAGGATCAATTTCTAGAGGAGAAGGCTGAGGCACGAACTCCACCACCTCATCCCCCTTGGCTTTTGGCTCTGACCCTTCCTCTTCTTCCTTTGGAGTGGTGCCACTTCCTCACTCACATCCTCACTACCCCCCATCACAGGCTCTGGTCTTGGCTGCACCTCCAAAGCCCGAGCAGAAGTGCTGGACAGCCGCTCCTTTTCTGCCACCCTCTTCTCCGCCGCAGTTGAAGTCTTTGACTTCTTCCTTGGCTTCTTTGGGATGCGCAGTCCTCCAGCAGCATTGATAAATTCGTCCATCTCAGCTGCAGAGCAAAAACAAGTGTTAAAACACAATCACTGGAAATTCAAGTAAGTTGCAAAAGGTAACACCATACACAAACCTTCGCTCAATGAGCTTGGCCCATAGAGCTCAGCAGCCTTTATTGCCTTTGGGCTGGTGAGGTACAAGATATCCACTACGTCTCCTTCTTCCCTCACCAGCTTTTCTACCTCCTCCACCTCATCCTCATTTAACTTATAGTTGTTCTGCTTGGTTTTCTTAGCTTTCTAAGCAGACAACTGTTCCACTTCGGCATCCCTCCTACTCCACTCGGTGTCATCCACAAAGAAGAATTTTTCTTTCCATCCTTTGATGGACGACGGTCCAGCAGAGAATAAACTCCTATTCTCTTTGCTGGACGACCGAAGGCCGAAGTAGTACCATCCCTTCTCACCTCTACCCCCACCCCTTATTACAAAAAAATGCTTAAACATATTTACCGTAGGGACCCCAACCCCCCCAGCTCTGCAGTATATAAGAAAGCCTACTATTACCCTTATGGCATTTGGGGTTAGTTGGGTTATTCCTATACTATAATCTAATAATAACCCAACCAGTAATTCTGGAATGGGAAACCTAAGCCCTGCAATCAAATAATGGACGTATAGGGGCATCCAATGGTCTCGGGGTGCTGAGCATGCCCTCTCATTCACCCCGGCAGGCTTAATTAGGACATGGTGAGGAAGGTTACAGTTACCCACGAGGCCCCTCAGACTATCCCTGCTACCCAATTCGCTCACATACCCCCTCACCTCGGATACTATCTCTAAATCTGGGTTATAACATCCATCTACGCTACTCCCAGCCTCCAAAATGTTTGAGGGGATCTCATCTTCCTCCTCCTCTACTACCCTTTGATCCCTCCTCTCCACCACCGTCCTCTCTAAACCAAATGGAGACGGACTGCTCTCCGAATCTATGCTCCCGTAATCCAAGGGCATCACCTCACTCCCCACTACACTCACAGTCCCTTCTGAAGACATCTCCTCAATTTCTGCATAAAGTAGGAGGAGGAACAGAGTCAGGACCCTTAAAAATGCTAACACACTCAATACATTCTCACTCCCAACCCTAATTTCCTTCAAAAAACCCAACATTAAACACAGAAAGGGAGAAAGGAGAATAGCACTTCGCCAAAATCAAAATCAAAAATTCATAAATTTTACCTAATTTTGGTCTTGGAAACTGTTGTTGAAGTCTTGATCAAAGCGCAAACCGCACGAAACCGCAGAAATTTAGTAGAAATTTAGCAAGAATTTAGTAGCAAAATCGCGAGAGTAAAAACCCCTTTTTACAGAAGCATAGCCTTTTATACCAAAGGCAAAATACGCCTCAACGGCTGTGATTAACCCCATCTAACGGCTGCAGAAACACCGTTTCGAATTTGACGATTAACCCCAAACGGTACCGTTTCAAACTCGACGGTTCGTTTTTTACATCTGCCAGTTGGGCTGTTACAATTATCTTTTTACAGCGGCATTTATTATGCACGTCATTCAGAGGACAGCTGTCGCGTCACGTACCGCTTCTTTGTCAGACTTCTCAGATGGGCCCATTTAAGCCCATTGCAACACTCTTGCTCACTTTTATCCATTTTAAATTTTGCACAAAGTGTTTTACTTCGGCTCCGGCCACAGTGACCCAGTGTCACACGTTTCACTTCGGCTTCAGCCACAGTGACCCAGTGTCACACGTTTTACTTCGGCTCCGGCCACAGTGACCCAGTGTTACACGTTTCACTTCGGCTACCGCCACAATGACCCCGTCTCACATATTTTACTTTGGCTCCGACCATTATCTCCAACAACATCATTCACAAGTGAATGACTTCGGGGGGGGAATAGTGTAAGGACAGGTCCAAGGTGCCCAACCTCGGACGAACGACAGTAATTTCTTTACGACCGAAGTGAAGGATAAATCCAAAGTTTCCCGCTCAAGTAGCTGCATGACAGCAACAGTAGGCATGCCCGTACCTAATCCTTTATGACGAGCTGCACAGCAGTTACGATGGACATCCTTGCATCTAAATATCTCTCAAATTCCCGGTCCCGAAATAACCGTCTGGAGATACACATCAGATCCCGAACATCTTGCTTGGCATGCCACGTGGGTTCCTCATTGAAACCTATAAATACGCCCCAAGGGCCACGTCAAAAAGGTAATTGAAACCAACCCTAAGCTCCTTTTTTCTCCGCTCTAAAGGTAACCCTGATTATTGCTAACTTAAGCATCGGAGTATCTACCCCGAGGATCCACCTTGGGGCTTTGTAGGTTCATCCAAAATGAAGACGTGGACTGAAGAAAGACTTCTGATTTGATGCAGTTACAAGAGAGGAGAAGTTGTTCTCCAACTCTCACATTTCCATTAACACCTCTGCCCATTTATAGCAAAAACTTTCAACATAAAAATAGTTTTCTTTACCTACTTTACATGCTTTATGGCATGTTTTCTACAAAATCTAATCTAAAATTTAAATAAAAAATTGTAATACATAAACCGACATAAAAGTACATTAAAAAACTATCACATTGATGCACTTTTGTTGACTAATTTCAGCCTCCATTTACATTTCATTTGCATTTGCATTTTATGTCATTTTCTTCCATAATGCAGCTTTTTTGTTGCCGAACCATTTTGTGCCATAAGTGCAGCTTGCTTGCTGCCCCATTTTGCTGTCTTGTTGCACCCAAAAACGTATGAACTGGGCAGAGCTTTCTAGGATTCAACTCCTTGGTATTTGTCTACATGGGTTTCCATTCTTTACTAGGTGTTACGTGGAAGTCAAAAATTAGTGCAAGGGAGAAAAAGGACGAAAATATAAGGTTCTTTGGAGTTACTACTCTTTTCAAAATAGTTTTTGATAACATAATTTTAATGATAATAAAATATTAAAAAGCTAGGGCATAAGTCTTCACAAAATAAAAGACTATGCTTCCTAGCTTAGCTCCTATACTTGTCTCATAATTCAGTTTCTCCATTAATGGCAGAAGCAAC